AGTCGGGGCCCTGGGTCGGCCGCCCCCATGCACCCCCGCTACCTCCAGTTCTGCTTTAAATGATCACATAATTTCTTTGCTGATCATGTGTTAAAAGCCTAAAGGACCTCAGCAGTTTTGGACTGTCTGAGGCGAAAGTTTGTGAGAGAAACGTGGTAAAATCTTCACCAATCAAATACAAAAAATACTTCTTTTGAAGTTTGTCGATGCATAAAAGTGTCGGCACTACGGCAGAAGTTTGTATATTGTTTTGCTGCACTTTTTTAAATTAAAATGCGGCACAGATGGATGACTCAAGTTTTTGACGTCTCAAATTAACTTTGTACAGTCTGACACATATTGCAATCGAGATTTGATTAGACTCATCTGGGACATTGTGGCACGCAATAAACTTACACGATCGTTTCTGTCACACAGCCTACGGGCTTCTTTACACAATTAAAAGGGTTTTGTGTGCTTAGTCACATGAATCATCAGGCGCTCCCCATGAAAAAATGCAATTGTACTGGACCTAGAAGGGAGGAGTGCACATATATTTGTGTCTGTGTGTTTTGTGTGGGTGTACACGTTTGTTGGCACACACAGAAAGAACAGTGCTCTCCAGCACTGGGATATAAATCATTTCCACAGCCACATAAAAATAACAGGTAGAAAATCCCACAAGGGAATTCAGCGACAGGGCCTTTAAAAAGTAAAGAGTGGTTATCTGCAGCATGAGATTCTACATATAAGCTTGATAATGTGTTTAAATGTAACCTTCTGAGTTGACTTTTCCCTCCCGAGGTCTGATATTGTATTTTCACCCAGCCTAAAAATCAATAAATTGTTCACAAGTAGGGACACTTTCAAATTCTCCGACCCTCTCCATGGCCTCCTCTGCCCTCTGATTCTCTGTTCCCTCCACTAATCCATCCCTCCCCCCTGCTCTGCTCCACCTCATGGGGGCCAGGAGTGCATCCCAAGAGCCCTCTTCCGCAGCCTGTCAGGACATTTCAGAGTCCTCGTGAAAAATGCTTTCCACAGAGAGAGATAGAGACTGAGTATATAAGCAGAGTACAGAAGGAGGTAAGTAGTGATGGGGGATGGGAAGAATGATAGTTGAAAGATCAGAACAGAAATACCAGGGATTATATATAGATTTGAAATGAGCTGAGGCTGTCATCATGTAAGGTGTGTGTGTTGACTGTCCGAGTCTATTAAGGGAGCACTGCAACAGCCACAGAGGACAGACTTCCCTGTCTGTCAAGTGCGAGACAAACAACTCAACCACAGTTAATGTTGAGTCACTAGACAGGAACTTTCCCTCTTTCAAAGCTGTCACAACCAGTTATGTGTCAGGGAATAATAGATATACACATGACAGTGAGCTATTCTGAAAACAGTCAAGAAAAATGCACATGTACAAGGACCCATCAAAATCTACAAGACAGTACTTAAGGTTATAATTACTTTAACTGAACTGGAAGAGTGACAAACTGAGAGACATGACACAAAATGCAAACAACATGAAAACAACACCCCCCACTGATTTTCCATAGCAAGTTCTTTGTGTTTAAACTGACAATCACTCAGTCTTCAAATTCTTGAAATTGCGGGTTTGGAAAATGTCACATCCTTTTAGTTAAACATACCAAATTATCTTCAACTCTCAAATAAAATCTTTAACATGTCTAGAACTAAAACTAATAGACGATTAATCAATACACAGAAAATTAATCGGCAACAATTCCGATAATTTAAGTCATTTTATAATAAAAATCATCATTTCAAATGTTAATATTTGCAGGTTTCCTTAGTTTTTAAACTGAATATTCGAAGACATTTTAGAGACTACTTTCAGCACTAAACTTAACAACAAGAAAAGTATCATTATTGTTGATAATTCTGTTTATAAAAAAATCCTAAAAAGAAATCTGAGGCTGAAATATGACTTCCTGAAGCAGGAGTGGGGGACTTTACCTATAAACAAACATTAAAGCCCTTGCCAAACAACTTCACACAATGGTGATTACACCTATCACCACAAGGTAAATCTTTTATATTTGAAGTATACCGGAATTTTTAAATTTGATGTCTGTGGCAATATTCCTGTGCTAAGCAGCAATGATTGGTTTGCTAGAACTGAAGGGGGGAGCAACTCTAGCAACAGCAGCAAGTCAGTATTGCAGAGTGCTGGCAAAGCCTATACATGTAAACACTGTTGTGTAATTACGCTCACTGTCAGAAGGGAGAGACTCCACACTGCAGGTTTAATCCAGTATTTTTTTTGTACCGTTACAGGATCTGAACAGTAATCCATTATCAATGCAATTTTTCTACAATTGTGTTTAATAGCTGATGATCCCTGTAGTTTGTGTTGAAATTAGAGAGCTTTGAGTTTTGTTACATGTGGACCTGGAACTAAGATAAGGGGGGTTCCACATAAAACACAGAAAGCATAGATATTCTTTAATTTTAGGTCAGGTGAGCACTGGGAAGTGAGAGTACAGTGAGTGCTCCATATTTTAAGCAATTTAAACTGATTTATTCTCTCAAGCTCTGGTTCTGCATTATTTAAATGGCTTTGTTGTGTAGCCTGCTGACTCCACAAATCTTATCTACAAATACAGCAATAATCCCCCTGAGCAGACACTAAGGCTAGACAAGGTCACAGGGATGATGGCTGCTATACGCAGCTAAAAATTTTACTAACTAAAACAATGACATCAAACTTGCGTTTTCGCCTGCGTGGTTAAAATTTCAATAATTTGCTCCATGTAAACTGAGTGTGTATAGTGTAAGAAACTGTGGGTGTATGTGGATTATGGATTACTGTCTATAATCACCTTAAAGGCCAGAGTAGGACGAGACTAGCAGCATGACCCTTACAAACATACACACACAAACACACACAGACAAAGCCCAGTAAGCGCTATAAAGAACCTCAGCGGACTGATTTACTGTCCTACACCGTTTTACAGCTTTGTCTTTATCTACCAGGTAGCGAGCTACTGAGCAACTAGGGCAATGCAGTGAACACAAAGCTGAAGGAACACAAGTTTTTACAAAACTCCTGGTTTAAGAGACCGTGAGTCAGGATCCAACACAAATAGAGGTCTCCACAATAAGACAGTAAATTTGTTTGAGGATGATGAGACAAAATAACTTTTCTGGATTAAAAAAAGTGTAGAAGCCACTGCAACCTATTTCATCAGGACAGGAGACAAATTGCAGTTAGGCTTACACTGTGTACTTCAAACGCAACTGACATTACAGAGTAAATTAAAGACATTGGACACATAAAGCAATCTTATAAGGTAAAATGGAAATAATACTGCCATAATAAAGTACAGCAGCATGAATGTAATATAGAATATAAATCCAGAGACAGCTACTCATGCTAATTAAAATTAATAAAAGAACATTTTGCATTAAATGTTCAACATTAAAGATGGTTTAAGTGTTGAGATGATTTATTTTCACATAAAAATTATCGTTTACTAGGGAAAAAGGCAGGCCATTCAAACTTGAGGAGTACACACTGACATTGAGGAATCAGTTTGAAGGCAAGTGCTGTCTGTGTCCCTAAACTTTGAAATATTTTACCTTTCACTATCAGATCATCCAATCCAATTGACTGACTCACTTATCTCCCGATAGCCTGTTCATTCTTTTGCTTTTGTTATTGGTTTTGTTAATTCTATTATGTTGCTCTTGTGTTTGTTACTGTCCCGCCTATTTCCTATTCCATGCTAAATACTGTAATTGTGAAGCAACTTCTGTTTTGAAAAGTGCTTTATAAATAATTATTTACTTACTCACTCACTTCCTTTGTGTTCTATTCTGACCTGAGATTATCTGCACAGACTTAATCAAAATACTGTGCCGTTCTGTGCTCTGAACTGAAGACATAATGAAATGATAGTCTGAGTCAAACAGGACTAACTGTGTTTCCCATACCAGGGTTAAAACGTGGAGATCTGAGATCTTCATGTACCTGCAGGGGGATTGCACTCTGCCTCTACCCTTTGTCTTCTGGTTGGTTACCAGCTACAGAACATAGGTCAGAACACAAACTCTGCATCTTTTAGTGGGAACAAATGGAAACTGCTGCAACTGTGACCGTGAAAACAAATTTACAATCATACTGGATTCTAATTACACTGGTCCCCTGACTAGACAGTAAAATGCTGAGCACAATGACTGAAGTGTGGAGACCCATTTCTAGTGTGGAATTTTGGAAAACAGCACAAGTACCAATGTAAAGATTACATAACATATACATTATTTTGCAGCTAATTAACAGAAGTAGACTGTCAGATTGCGTAGTGTTGCTTTCAGAACTCCCCAGCACCTTCTGGAGATGTCTGTATTAAACTACAAAAGCCACAGACCCTTCAGAGTACATACTAACGAGTAAAAAATAAAAGCTAAATTTGATCAGGTCACCTCACCTAGTCGACAAACTTTTTTAGGCCTGCACAGAATTGTAGTCACAAGCGCAGGCACAAGCAGTAGAAGCAGTGTAACTTACTACTCTCACCTGTTTCAAGAAATATCCATTATAAGTCAGTTTAATCTGTGTACCATTACCCAGTAATGAATGTCCAATTATCTTTTCATCATTTACTTATTATGCTTTATTGACTTTAGTAGGATACACTATGGAAAATGGACTCTGTAACCACAGTCCTGAGCTAAACTATTGAAAAAGTGTTACAAATGATCAAAATTCATCATTAGGAAAATAGGAAAAATAAATGTAGGAAAAGCCATGACAAGTTTAGAGATATATAAATGCCACAAGACAGTGATGGGATGTTATCATTATTCATAAGTCCATGATACATCGAACACAAGCGTTGTAAATCAGACTGAGAAAAGCAGCAGATAAATAACCAACTAAATCACTGATAGGCTTGACAGACTATTTATAAATACCATGTAACTGCACTGGCCTGTTCTGGAGTGACCCAAGAAAAAAAATAATTGGCTAGATACAGTAAGTTGTTGTGTCTCACCTCGCTGTGGGGCTGTCATCAGTGCGTGTGTGTTGTGGTAAGTCAGAGGAGGCAGGACCCTCCTCCCCGTCCTGAGGCAGCTCTTCACATTCTGCCTCACACCTCTCATCATCCAACAGTTCTGTGATCTGGAGAGAGAAATATAAAGGACACAAAAGGTTACCACTAAAAAGGATTCATTTATTGAGATGAAAAAGCATATGAAAACAGTGTTAATTATTACAGAACAAAAGGTAAAGTTACAACACATGGATTTCTGTTGGGTTAATCTAATCTGACATTGTCTTTGGGATCTAAACTGTTTCTAACTGGGTAATTTGATTCATGCCTCATGAGGAAGTCAGGCGAAGCGGATAATAGTATCTGTTCCAGGACTTCAGTTCTATAAATTAACAAGATTACGATGATGTTCGCATGCACAAAAGGTCACAGTAAAGATTTATTTAAGTAATTTGGTGGTGAAGTTGTTATATTTTATGTAACTGGTAATAACTCACCTCCACCGTGCTATGTAAAAACCTACAGATCATTTTGATAAAACATTACCCTTTCCCTCTCCTTTATTTTTTTAGTTTAAACTTTTAGTGTCTAGAGATGAACAGTTTTCTGATTAGAGACTTTCAAAGAAAGGTGTTCACATACACAGTATGCGTGTGTGAATAAAAAGAACAAGACATTACAGTTTGTTCCATAAGACATCTAAATATAGATGAAGCTAATGATTAACACATTGACACTACAGATACAGTGGTAAGCAGAGAGATAATAAAAAAGAAAGGACAGGGAGGGGGTGAGCAAGAAGCCACAGCCAGGGAGGGTTTGGGGTTTCTGTTCAACAGATTTCAGGAAAATGCTATATTTACGATTTCAAAGTACTTTGATTTTTACTTTTTCTTTAAAACTGAATCCACAAACGTTAAAACCTCCATATATCTACTGAAATTATGCAACTTTTTATGTCACTTTAACACAATATCTATTGCTAAACACTAACATTACAATGTTCTTTTTCAGATCTAGCTTAAAGGCAGATGCCAATGCAATAGATAAAAAGTAGTTAAGAATACAGGAGAAAGGCATAGACTGTGTAAAACATGGATGTAGTGCCGGTGAAACTGTTGTAAAGCACAATATTGGCGGCACCTAGTGGCTCCGGCCATTGGCTAATCTAAAAATGGGCAGAGGGCTGAGACGGTGCCAAATGAAGCCTGGTTGCTGAAGCACCCAGCGGCTACCCACCTTTGAGTGCACCCACCTATCACTCAAAGCAGCCACATCCATTTTAAGTAAGTTATATAAAAATTCGCCCCTCGCATAGTTGTCGGGAATGGGGAAATTAGCGATAGAGACCAAAACTATTTTTTGTACCAGGTTCTAAACATGTTTATTTCTGCTGTAAAGGTGGGTATTTAAACATGACCCCATGTTTAATGGGGATTGGCTTGTTTTTGGAGCCTCATGTGGCCATTCCATGAACTGCAGTTTTTGCAGAGTTTGCTGTTTGGAGAAAGGTGGAGAGAACCAGAGGGAAGAGAAAGAGGGAGTGATAGAGGCAAAGATTTAATGAATCTGACAGTAAACAACAGATGGAAGACGGGAAGGAGAAAAAAGAAGGGAGGTAGATAATGGAGCGAGATAATGGTAATAAATTTGTAGACAGAAATAACGATGTGGCGATAGGATAGTGGATAAGACACATGCCTTTGGTGTGGGAGGAATTGCATTGTCCCGCTGCGACACATCCACCATTATGTACCAGAGGCGTGCAACCTCTGATATATACATAGCAATTGTAAGTCGCTTTGGATAAAAGCGTCAGCTAGATGACTAATTATCTAATCATAACTGGTAAAACTGATACTGCAGTAGTTGACAACGAGTAGGAGCTACCAACTACTCAAACTACTTTTTTTGTTTTAAATAATATAATAAAATAATAATAATATAATTAAATAAATAATTTTTCTAAACAAATGTCATATTTGTTCTGTAATAACATCAAGTCCAACCAGTCCGAACGAGTCAAAAAGCTTTTCCGTGTGCAGTTTTATGTGACAAGTCAGTTAAAACTTAACTGGGAAAACCCCTGGCAGGAACATGGGTTAAAAGGTTGTGAAGCAGATTCGTCACCACGAGACCTTTATTCTCCATATATCTCCTTTTGTACTCGTGTCTATTCTATTTCTTCCCTTGCCTCTCTCTCTCTCTCTCTCTTCTCAGCAGCAACCCCATCTGCTGCTGTCATTGTGCCGTTGCTATGGCAACACCTCTGTTTCAAGAGCTCCGATTGGCTGTCAGGGAATTCTTGCATCGTCACATGTGCAGATCAGTGAGGATGACTCACAAGCCTCCTCTGTGTGTGTTTATATATTTTCCTTATGACCAGAACATTAAAGACCTTCTCAAATTAAACTTAGCAGTGAAAATGTTCTTTGTGTTGGTGCACAGCCAAGCATAGCCGGACTATGACGTGCATCCTTGTGTGTAGGTGTCTGTAAAATGTTAAGTAAATAACTAAATTGTGTGAAAAGCTGAGAAATAATGATTTATCACCACACCCTCTCACTCCACCTCACACAAACCCTTTTGCTTTTAGTGTGCTGTGTGTTTACGGGAAAAAAACAAAAAACAAAAAAAGAGTCTATGTCATAGTTATCTAGGGAAGGTTAAAATCCTGATTGGTAGGGAATAGCTGAGTCTCTCAGATCATGGAGGAAACATCTTCAAGTATCTTCAACCAAGTCCAATTGATATTGATTTTAACCTTCCTTGGATATATTTGTATAATATATACAAATTTCCTAGTGTTTTGTTGGAACTGCAGTAATTTGTTTGAATAAGTCAATTACTGTCACAGGTAAACAAACCTGCCAGAGTAACAAATCAAAATCAATATATCTCCACTTAAGTTTTGGATGAATTAAAACGTCAGCTACAGTTGATATCTTCAATTTGATTTTCAACTAATCTGTCTAGTCATAAATGCACACCGGATATCTTTAATCTAAATCCTGTCACTCTTTATTTGTTAATTGTGGATATCATAGATGTTCCACCACGTACCTAAATCATAATGAGGTGTTCATGTGGCCTAGGGGTTTTAGACAAGAATCTATAATAATATAACCACAACATCCCAAGCTGAAAAACAAATCCAAATGAAAATTGAATCATAATTTCAATCAATTATTCAGTGTCTTCCCCCCCTACTTCAAACTCAAACTGAACAACAGAAGATTACCTAGAAGAGATTACGGAATAAACAGTTGGGGACATCACCTCTCCATTAAATCAAATAGAGCGCTGGAAAAATTATCCAAGGGGAGTCATTAGATAATTGACTTCCTGCTATCATCATCCAGATCAGGTTGTTTCTGTGTAAAATTGTTCCAGATTTTATGGGCAGAATAAAAAAATTTTCAGGATTCTGGGAAGTGATGACCTTGGTTGAAAGTCTGATCTACGTTATCATCATGTTAAATTCATTCAGAGCGATTCACCAGTAATATGGATGAACAGTGCCATGAATATAACCTTGGATTATACACCAGCTACCAAGAGTATGTTCTATCAAGGCTGCTGATCATTGATATTGAAAAATGAGTCTGTATCTCGCCATAAATATAAACATCCCCTTGTGTATCCCCATTAAAATGCAGGAGTTGAGAATGTATAATTGTCCTCTGGGATATAGGTGTTCATTCAAATAGTGTGGACAGCGTTATGAATATAATCACAGCTCTGCTGAGTAATCAGAAAGCCTTTGAGGTGATGTAACAATATTAAAGGATATGAGTTGTCTAGGTAATCCAGTCAGGATGACCTGGAATGGTCACTTGTGTTGAAAATATTATCCCCTCATTTAAAACTGTGGAGCATTTTTATCATGATAACTCAAATTAGAACTTAGAAAAATAGCTGTCCGTTTCTGCATATTATGTAGGCTTTGTGTGTGTGTGTGTGTGTGTGTGTGTGAGAAGTGGGTGAAAAGACAGGGCAGAGAGCAAATGATGGATCAAAATGGAACAAAAGTTAGTGGCTTTCGTTTAGCTGTTCAGCTCCTCTTGAAAAACATCAAGAAGACAACTTTAGACTTTATGTTGCGAGGTCTTTTAGATTTATCCTGTTGTGGAGGGAATTGGCTTATGTTGGCTGGTGTTTTCTTTTAATGATTTCAACCATTCATGTGAAAATTAATATTTATCACTGTTAGTTTATTTTTCCTTTTTAAAGAAAAATATGCATGGGGAAGAGCTGAGTGTTGCTGGACAGGGTTTCATTTTCAAAATTTGCTTTGTTGTTTACATTAGAAACACAAGATCTCAGCCTTGGCCTTGGTTCTGTGCACAAGGAGGAAATACAAGAGAAGCAATGCGATCACTTTTCAATCTAATCACTGTGATCAATATGTTTTTTTGTTCACTGACAGACCTCCAGGATTCTGAGGCAAGCAGGAACGATTGCAGCTGACTCCTCCCACCCCGGACACAAACTGTTTCAGACTCTCCCCTCTGGCAAGTGGCTGCGGTCCATCAGGACCAAAACCTCTCGCCACAAAAACAGCTTCTTCCCGTCTGCAGCTAGCCTCATTAAAAAGGCCCGGATCCCCCACTGACACCCTCTCCTTTCAAATAATACAAATGTCTCTGCACAAGTAAATATTATTTCCTTTCATATCGTGCACAAACCTGTCACATTGCACATATTTGTTGTTAATCGCTGTTGTTTTATTTTATTTTTATATTGTCAACTTATATATTTATGTACACAATATCCTCTTACGTTGCAATACGTCTGCACAACACAAACCGGACTAATGCACATGTAAATATCTGCTACGTTGTTCTTTCTCCCCAAATAGTTGTATTATTTTTCTCTATTCTTTTATTATTCTTATATAACTTGCATTTGTTTATTCCATATTTATATATTTCTACATCTATTTATATCAACTGTATGTTTGTCTACATGTATCACCTTATCACCAAAGCAAATGCCTTGAATGTGTAAAACACTACTTAACACTACTTGCAATAAAGCTCCTTCTGATTCTGACTGGACCTGACCTGACCTCATTTGTGTCATCGAAGCTTGGGGTACATGTTTTAAAATAGACGTTTTCGCTTTC